CTGAAAAGTTCATGGACAGTGTCTCTCCAAAGGTCAGAGTCTGTTGGCAAATGACCAAAGAACCCTCCTCTCTGGAGCCAGCCAACCACTTCTGTGGGCAGGAAGCACTCTGCCATCAGCTCAGCCTTGGAAGAGTGAGTAACTAACTCCACTGAATATGCCCACATTTGACTTGGGGCCCTGACATGATCTGAAAGAAATTGTTTCTTAAATAGAAATGTAAAAATAAAGATAAGCCCATGTTTTGAAAAAAGAAATTAGCAATACAGTGGGTAAACAATAATGAACTTAGGGCGGTGCCTGTGGCTCAAAGGACTAGGGTGCTGGCCCCAGATGCCAGAGGTGGTGGGTTCAAACCCAGCCCCCACCAAAACTGCAACCCCCCAAAACAACAAACAAATAAACAAAAAAATAATGAACTTAGGTTAACTTTAAGGTAAATGCAACAAAATTACATAAATACTTCCCCCTCAAAGCTAAATGTGCATCCTAAAATATTCTTGTTGATGCATTTGCTTTATTTCAGATTTTGAGGGGTTTCTAAAATTGATGTGCTTTTTTTTTTTGCAGCTTTTGGCAGGGGCTGGGTTTGAACCCTCCACCTCTGGTATATGGAATGGAGCCAGCGCCCTACTCCTTTGAGCTACAGGTGCCACCCAAGTTGATGTTTCTTTAACATCAACACGTATGATGCTTCTCTCTGATTCCAGTAAACACACCTATTTTTTAGCTAAAGAAAATGAGAAACAGTTAAAAGTTCCAATTATTTGCTTAATGCAGGTGAGTGAGAACATATTTTTAATAAATTTTACAGCAATTCATTTGTTCATTCAACATTTATTGAACACCTCCTCTGTGCCAGGAAGCGTGTTAGGCATTGGAAGACAGACAAGTGCATGAAATAAATGTAGTTTTTCCTCGTATGGAGCTGTAAATCTAGTTGGGAATCTTGCCTTAAACAAGTACAGAAACATGTAAACAGTTGAGATACATATGAATCAATCAAATAAAGGGTGCTTACAACTTCCAGTTTACATAAAATAACTATGGTTTCCTGCAGAGTCGAGATGGTTCTATTGAAATTTTGATTTGCCCACTAAAAGAATTTCTATTAAAATTTAAAAATAAAGTCTGCTACAGAGCCACTGAATTGTTATTTCTGAATGTCTCGGAGTTGAATGTAAGATATGACAAAAGTTTTTTTTTCCTTAAAGAGAAAAAGTGCTAATTATTCTAGAAATACCTTTAACCAAAGCAGTTTCCAGGGGAATTAATGACCACTTTAGGTTAATGGTCGCTGGCTTCATGTTTGGCCCTCAATTAAACTCTGAACTTCGACTGTTATTACTTAATTGACTTGGTTATATTTCATGTCAGCATTTCAAAATGCCCTTCCTTTTAAAAAATAAAAATTCCCCTTACATAGCACCGTGGGTCTTTAGTCGAGCCTGACATTGGTGCAGCAGCCATGCTCTCCATATACATGGCTGAGCCTAGGATTTGCTTAGCTTTGCTCTCACTAGGGTACTTCCCATCATCCCTGCCTGTGAAATGAGACAGCTCAGGATAAATCCAAGTGATGAGAGAAAGGGGATGAAAAATTAAATATAGCTGTTGCTATGAAGATGATTAAAATGCCAAATAAATCCACCGAGAGCCACTTTATTCTGAGTGCAGGGAGTTAGTCTTAAAACTAATACTTTGAGTATCACAATTAAATACTATCAAGGTATGGTTTGCTTATTTTAGTGTTACTATGTGGAACTTTGCCTTATGAGAGACTCCAAATATTTAGTTGTTCTAGTTAGCCAGATGAAAACTTAAATCTCCTTTGCTTACACGTGAAACAAGAGAAAGAACGAATCGGATTTATGTGACCAATGAGGTGGATTTCATACAAAGTGGCTTTGACACCCAGCTCGAAATTTGCTAAACTGACTGAAACAAATTAAGGCATCAAATGAGCATTTCCTTTCTCCCTGTACTGCGGAAAAGTTTTAAAGGTCTTTTTGAAGTACTTTGATCAAGCTTTGAAATCATTTTAGTGGATTACTATTGTATGAAAACTGTAATTTATAGCGCTTGACCTCAGCGGCTCTTTGTCTCACAGCCATATTCTAAACAATAGCAGGAAAGTGAAAAACACAAGGGAACCCAAGCTGTTCTGGTTATTATTTAATTCATAATTCCATCCTCCTTATTTAATCTTTGGAATCCGGGCGTGTTCTTAATAAAACAGGTTCGGACCATATCTATTATGTAAAGCTCATTTCGAGGTACCAGAATAGACGGTCCAAACTTTGTCACGGGTGACCCTTCCTTAACCTGAACCCGAGTCACTTTACAATCCAGAGAGGTTCAGAGAGGAGCGTCCTATAAATGGAGACATTGCAGGGAAACTCCTATTGTTCGCCTTTTAGCTTCCTCTCTAGTTAAGCTTGCTTTGTTCCTTACCCTTAATCAAGAACATACCCACTGGGAGATTTTTCTCTTCTCATCTTGGCACAAAATAGTTAAACTTTGAAGCAACTTGCTCCCATCAGATCATACGGCCAACAGCAAACTCCCCAGAGGTGAACGAGCTAGAAGTGATTCTAACTAAATCATTCATTTTACTATTTCATTATAATCCATTATTTTAATCAGCTGTACAACAGTGCCCAGGTTGAAAGTAGCTATAAAAACTTACATTGTGTGTGTGTGTGTGTGTGTGTGTGTGTGTGTGCACGCATCTCCTTTTGTGAAGGAGATTTGCTGAGGGCATAAACTTCATACTGTATTTAACCCTGCAAAATCTTACCATCTTGGTTCAAAGTTTTATGATCCTTCAGGTGCCACATATGCATTTGAGTATTTTGGCACATGGATACTTTGGGTGTGCCTTGCCCCAAGGAGATTAGCCGGCCTGCTCCCTGCCCCCCACCAGACACATGCATCAGGACTTAGATAGGATGTGCTTTGATCCTGGGATCATTTTCCTGAGAAAAAGAGCCAAAGAGAAGTGAGAAAATGAGGAGTACCTGTTCATGTCGACAGACACTGGAAAAGACAGTGTAGGAAAAGATGACTTCTAAAGGGGAGCACACACCCCTTTTGGGGGCAAGACACAATTATAAGAGGGACTTTACCTAACAAATGCAATCAGTGTAACCTGGTTTCTTGTACCCTCAATTAATCCCCAATGATAAAAAAAAAAAAAAAAAAGCATGCAAAGTGGGGAGAAGAAGGCTCGGGAAGCAGGAAAGATTTAATTCAGTCACAACACTAGGCTAGAGATGAGAGCAGATTAAAAAGAGCAGACGACTAAGGTATCTGAGTTCCAAGGAGAAAAGGAAACAATGGGTGTAGCTCCCCAGGGAGAGGCAAGTGAATTAACTGTTCACTTTGGCATTAATTAGAGTGGCCCACCAGGGACCATTTAGTAGATTACCTCATCAGGACTCTAAGCAATCCCCTGGTGGCTTGAATGAGTTAATGCACCCCCCAAAGACCAATAATTTATCATCTTTTCCAGGGTGGAATCAAACCTTGCAGATAATGAGCAGGTACACACACCTATGGTTAAAAGAAAATTATTTCCCCTGGAGTCCAGCTTTCTACTTTAGACCCCCAAGGCTTATCTTTCATATGTGATTTTAGGAATGCTGTGAAGAGTTGACAGACACCTCACTAAAAGACAAAAGGTAAAAAAAATGGGTTCTTGATTGTTGATGGTTTGGGGGGGACGTCTATAGGTAGGGGGGCTGGGAAGAAGTCTATGAAGTCACCTTAAATACCAGCACTGGATCAGCTCTGCTCCGCGCTGAGCCCTCTCCAGGTTTCAAATGGGTCCCTTATGTGTCTGTGAGGGCAGATACTCGGCAAGTCTATATATGTCAGAGAGAACATCATTTAGTTTTACATTTTACACACATTCCTGCTTTCCGGCTTGGCATAATTCATTAGTTTAGTGTGCAGAATGCCCCATAAAACAAGATTTGGCTTTAACATTAATGTTATAATGACGACAGCAATAAACATAAGTTGTCATCCTGTGTCTACTTCGTGGGGCTGATGTATATATTGTCTAAAATAAAAAAAGGACAAACACCCAAACAAACAAACAACCTATAGAGAAGGAACATACACCAGTACATTTAACAGAAAAGAAAAAGCAACATTGACGAGGCTCTAAGCTTCCAGCCCGGGAACATGACTCCCTTTTCCCTCCCTTCGGATAAATCTATTCGTTTTTGTGTATGAAGAACTTACTTTTGACTAGCTCGTGGCATGTACAGTTTACTGCCGGGATCTTTCTCACTTTTAGGGGCCTCAGGTTAACGCCTTCTTCGTAGGAGGTGGCGTCCTTGCTGGGGATCACCAGCACCTTCTCACGACACATGAGGTCAGGGTACCAGGTAGATAAATAAATACAAAACGCAAGCACCGTTTTAATTTCTTAATTTATTTGTGCACGCTCATCATAAATTTGTTTAATGTAAAACAAACACATCTTTGACAAGGGTTTTAGCAGGATTTTCAACATCTGGGCAGATAAATGTAATTTATTCCTTAAGAAGAAAAAGCAGGTTGGAGCCTGCCGTGAAACCCAGTTATAACACCATTTTTGTTCAATGTGTGTGTATCGAGGCAACAAAGTAATGGTTTCAGATCACTGAATTTCACTCACAAAATCTGCATGATGTATTTAATGGTAAAATAGAAGTTTGCCGGGGACTTCCTGATCCCTTCATCTTCTTCTTCCTCTCTTTTGATTTAATGAAGCAAACCACACAGTTAAAATCTACACGTTTGGATCGGACATGCATTCTTTAAAAGAAAAGGTGGCAGGCGTATTTTTTTGCAAACCTTCTTAGGCACAAAATGAACAAAGTACAAATGATTTATTTAATCTTTGAAAGAACCAAGCAATATAGATGTATATAACTTAAAATTATTTGCAGAAGTTACATTGTTAATAATATTTCTAAAATCACCTATTCAACATTATAAAAGTTGTATTTTCTCAGCACAGGAGAAAATATTTTACTAAATACATTTTTGGTACAGATCAACTTTTAATGCCTTAGAAGATAGGCTTATCATTAATTTACTGATGGTTTGCTTTAGACCGAAATCTGGTTTATAGTACATAAAACAAATACAGTAAAGCAAACAAATACAAAAATCTCCTTTATTAAAAATTGCTCTAGGCAGATTTCTAGTACACTTAGTTCGTTCACAGCTGAACATTTCTAATGCCTAAATTACTTGCATGTTATATAATTATGTGGTATAAAATTGCATATACAAAGTGGTGTATGAAATGGGTCTTTAAAAAGTTTTACTCCTAAAAATACTGGCTCACATGCCTCCCCTAAACCAGCCGTGTTTAAAGAGAAACACTTCTCCACACTGGAAATGAGTTTCAGTCCTCTCCTCTCAGGCCCCCGTCCGTGAGTGTGGTGTCCAGGCACAAAGTGATGAATACTTTTAAGTGAGATAAGTGTAAAAGGTTTGGCATTCAAATAAGCATTATAAAAAGAGGAAATTCTCACCAGGTATATTTCTGCAGCGTGGCCTAATGTCACGGAAGTCAGGAAACCACAGAGACTGGACAAAAGCATGCACACAGCACAGGCTGCAGGTGGCTTTAGTTCCAGACTTTGCGCCTTCAGCCTTTCTAGATTATTCCGTGACAGCAATGCGACACTGGCTCTCTGTGAGTGCACACGCGAAGAGAAAGGGAGAGGGAGAGGGAATGAATAGGGACATTCAAAAAAGAAAAAAATAAGAGAGTGATTCGGTAACAGGAGGGGAATTGACAAGTCACACCTTTCAGCCTTCGCCTTTTTTTTTCTTTTGTTCGGCCTACAAAGAGGAACCATCCGGAAGAAAGAAAGATTATGACTATCTATAAACTAACTGTTTGACAGGGACAGAAGTGCTGATAGCGAGGGGGTTGTGTCTGTAGTTCTTGGCTGTTCACATCAGCCAGGGATGAAGGAAAACAGAAACTCTTGATCTGTTTGTCTAAAGAGGTAGTGGTGTGACCACAGGCAGCAAGAGTTCAGCCCAAGTTCAGGGCAGATGTTGCCAGGAGTTGACGCTGCAGGAAAGTAAAATTGCTTCCGGTTTCACCTTCTCCTCCCAGCTCCTCTTCCAGGATCTCCAGGGTCAAGCGACACTGTGGCCTAAGGTGACGATGTCCGTGGGGAAACAGGCTTTGAGCAGGATGCCCCTCTCCCGGTTACAGTCCAGCTCCTGGATAAATCCGTACCAGTAGATGACTAAGCCCGGCCCAAATCTGCAAAAAACACCAGAAAATAACATATAATCCTATAGATACAGCTCCAGGAAAAAAGTCACCTTGGAGGCATTGATAAGATGATTAAGTGACTAGATTGCACAAAGCTTTTGTTGGGTTGCTACCATTCTGCCTGAAAATAGTTGTTTGACCTTACAGCAAAGAGCTCCCTTAACACATGCCCCCACCACAGGCAGACCTGTTACCTTTCTTTCCAGGAACCTGAGGGGTTTTCAATATTGGAACTCCCCAGCCCATCTTTCAGTGAGGTGCTAGGGGCAGGAACTGATGTCACCACCTCGCTCTCTGATTTTCAACCCCATATACTGCGGCACACTGGTGTGCCATGAGAGGATCTTGGGTGTGCTGCCAAAAGTTTTCAAGATTATTAGTTAAATGATTTCTGAACGAAGTTCAAAGCACCATGGGTATATTCTGTTTTTTTTTTTTTTACTTTTTTTTTCTTTTTGATCACCATAATTTAAGTGCACTGAGAAAGTTTAGGCGCGAGTGTGCTGTGAGATAAACCAGGTTGAAAAGCACTGACCGAGCTGATGGAAGACACAATCAAAGGAGAAGCAGTGGCGAGCTGGGGAACACCTGAGGTATGATGTTACAAGTTAGATTTGCCCACTTTCAACACAGGAAGGGAAAAGAATGTCTGAACACCCATTTAAGGAAATGCTTAAGGTCCTCTTCTGGCTATAACGTCCTACTCCTGCAGCCACAGGAGCCTCCTGTCCTCCGCGTGACACACCAGGATCCCTCTGAGACCTTCCTCCCGGCCTTTCACTCTCTGCGTTACACCCTAAGTGCCGGCATGGCGAGAAGTCTGGGTGCTGGTGTTTATGGGAGTGCAAACTGAGGTCACATAGGGTTGTGACGAAGTATAGACAGATGCAGGCCTGAAACCTCAGTATTTCTAGGTTGTGCCTCCGAGTTACCTCCGACTTTGTGACTTTGTTAGCAGTGACTGGTCCCCACCAGGCAGACTCAGGAAGCAGCACTACAGAATGCTTCACCCATCAGGAAGCGGAGACCTTCAGGCTGGGTTCATAAAGATGTAATCACTATTAATCACTGTACATGGAGAGATGTTTTGCACATCAGTTCCACGTTTTTCCTACCGAGAGCACTTAATTAAAGGGCAGTGCTAGTTTTGGTGTAGTGTTGCAGGAATTTTACAGTGAAATCATAAATTATGAATGCCGGGTTAGTAAAAGGATGTCTAAAAACAGAACTGCTTTCTGTATTCTAACATTACAGCACGCTGAGCCATGCTAGGCCAGAAAGCTTTTTCCTTCTATGATTTATTATATGCTGGAGTGTACTTGCCAAAACTAACAGTACAGGATGGGCCGCGAGATACTGTATGCACAGGAACAAGTTCAGTTGGATGTCACGGGCTGGTTTATTTGGGGATTCACATCAGGAGGGTAGCCACGTTGTAGGCAGGATTAATTAAAACTCTGTGAGTCCCCTCCGTGCAGGGGCAGAACCATGAGATGGAGACCCACCACTTGAACTTGTCTTAGAGGACACAGAGAAGCCGTGGTGCATGAGGCCCAGAGAAGTGCACCTGAACTCGGAGGCTCTCTTCTCTCTCAGCATCCCCAAGGAAGAGTTTCCTTTAAGGTGAGAAGAACCGGGCTGCCCGTGCACGGTGCATGTGGGCCTCCACACTCAGGGGCATACATACAAGTACGAATGACGTGTGAAGCTCACACCTGACTGAGAACTTGTTTCCTTTTAACCAAAGGGTCCTTCATAACTTTTAACCACAAAGAATGATCTCTAACTGGAAAATAAACCATTTGGTACTTTTATTTTACAAAGAGCTGTGTCATTAGTAGCAAATGATTTGAGAGATTTGTCACAACAGATCTGGCAAAAGCAGGAAGATGTGCGATTCTAGGGACCACGTGTGAGAAGCCTTGAACCTCCCCATCAGGGCAGCACCCCCAGGTCCCGGCCTCCACAGACATTAACACACTCCTCCAGTTTATTATACAGCTGTTCTGGAGACCAGGATGTTCTTCAGAAAGGCACTGATATTTTCACAAAGGGAGGAAAAAACTGTGATCTAACGAGTCACAGAGAAGAACAAAAGAATATATGGAGGTTGTAAAAAACAAGCCCCAGTATTTTAAAGATTTAATAAAACAAAAACACATATCACCAGTACGGAGAGCTACAGCAGCCTGCACTCTCCCTGAACAGCTAAATCATAAGGCAAAGGACACGACGCATGACAGCTCTTTACACAAATGGCGTTTCCTGGGCAGCAAAGCCTGGTCTGGGGAACTCCTCAGTGCTCAGGAAAATGGACTCGTTTCACTTGTGAGCAACAGATGAAACTCGCAACGCCAAAAGGTTTTGCAAGATTGTGAACCTGAACATTTCATCGAGCGGTTCACGACCAGGATTCTCTAAAGGTGGTCACATGAGTCTACAGATGTGATTCATTAATAAGATAACACCATCTAAGTCTCTATGTTTCCAATATAATATATGGAATTTTATTAAGTTAGGTAACACAGCTCAAAATCTGATGATAGGTGCCTAATTAATTAAAAACAAGGAAATACAACTTCCCTTTTTAAATAGAGATTGGAGAGAGGGTTTCAAATTACTTTGGGTGACGAAAATAATAAGGATTTTTAGCAGGTGACAAGTTTGGAAACTTGATGGCAGAACAACATCTGGCCTTGTTCCCAGCACCTACTTACATGCGTTTCTGAGCTTTCTCCAAGAGGTCAGGATCCAGAGATAATCAGAGGCTGCCGAGATAACGTTTCAGTAACTCACCTGTTTAGGAAGAGGCTGACCATGTTAAGCGAGCTTATATAATTAGATCCTTGGTTATCTGAACTAACAAAGGGAATTTTTCAGTTGCTAACTTGAAATGCAAGCAATTAAAAAGAGTATTACATCCTTCTGAAAAAGTATAAAATGTGACCCTAGAAAATTTTTCTGTGTACGAATGTGGGTCAATTGCACGCCTGTGGGCTGAGTCTCCCTTTTTGCTACCTGTTCTCCTTGACTGTGGCAGCACTGGACAAGAATGAGATCACTAGGAAGGCAAATAGAACCTTTGTGACCAATAAAATCAAAGAGACTCTGTTAACAGCATTTAAAGGAAAACAGAGTCCCTGGGTCTTGGGGTATATGCAAAGCAGAGGGCTGGCCTGCTACTGGGATTGCAGCCTCCCTACCAGCCCGGAGACACACAGTAACGGGATGTACACGGACATCTGAACTGATCGTGTAAACACTTTTCAAGGCTGACTATAATTTTATGGTTACTATCCTCATGGTCAAGTAATAAGATCAAAGAGCCCCAACAGATTTTAAAGACTCCTGGGGAAGCAGAGACTAGAATGTGAGTGACTACGGAATAAGTAATTTTGCTTGCAAATAAAATGCCACCAAAATAGCAAAAACAACGAATACCTCCTGAAAAAAATGGGAGGTGAAAGTCAAGAGCCGAGATGGAGTTAGAAGGCAAGACAGATGAAGTTCTTCATAAATGCCGACAGCCCTGCAAATATGTACGAAAGGTGTTTCTCTGGTTTGCTTCCACTTTGGGGTATTCAGAGAAATTAAATAGGAGACTGTGGAACTAAATAAAGTGGGGTACGCTTTTGTGCAAACCTGTCTCCTCAGGATTATCCCTCTGTTTCACCATTTGTCTGTTTGTTAAATTGTGTCTTTTGAGGGGAAAGACTATTTTCTTTATAGTCATGTCCTCCACATCTACCACAGTGTCTGGGACACGACAGTCACCCCCAAGGACAGGATGGAGAACACAGGTTAGTAATGATGGGATCAGACAGCTGCGTACTGGTTATTGACTTGGTGTCGGGGCAGAGATAGAGCACAGGCAGGACTCGGCATGGCCACTGCATGCCGTTTTTATTAATGACCAGGATGAGCACACTAATGGCATACTTACAGGTCACAGGGATAATCATATTAATGGTTCCGGCAATGTTAATTATTAACACTTTCATAGCCACTGTTCTAAGTACTTTACATATATCAAACCATTTAATTCTAATGCCAACTCCACAAGGTAGTTCTCTGTTCTACAAATAAAGAAATCAAGGCACAGAGCAATTAAGTTGTAAAGTGTCACAGCAGAAAAAGTGGAAGAACCAGTTCTGGAACCTTAAGGCAGTGGGTGGTTGTCCTCATTCTGATGCAGAGATCAGTTTACTAAACAGCCATATAGCATCAGACTTTTGCCAAAGAGAGGAAGCTCCCTTTGCATGGTTCAGACCACAGGTAGGGTATTTTGGAGGTATTCTAGGGTCATATTTTAAGGGGAGAGTCTCTAGGCTGGGACTGCCCTGATGGAGAACCCAAGGATACTGGAGATATTAGAATAACAGAGTATGTCTCACCTAGAACAGTGAAAGTGGCAACACACTGATTGTCTTCTTGAGTGCTCTTGGGGAGGAAGGATTTGATTCATGCTGTAGCTCTCAAGTGTAGACTTAGGACAATGTTCAAAAGTAACCAAAAATTGGATTTGGTTCAACACAAATTTTTTACTATACTTGAAACCTTTGAAAACATGGACTAAGCTACCTTGCAACACACTGACATTTCTGGATCTATTAAATGAAGGCTGGGCATTTAAGAATATTTAGAAATTGAGCCAATTCATACAAAATGGGACTTTTTACATACAATCCTGCATATTCACCTTCTTTTGCGAAAGTAAGCCTTCTGGCATTCAGCAGCTGAAGATAACAACTGCCCCCTTCAGACATAACCCAGGCGTACAGTTGGCCACAGTCTCCGCCATTCCCCGTTACTCCCCGGTGCTGAGGCTCAGTGCCAGCATCATCTATCATTGTGTTTGCACTGTGATTTTCTTATTGCAGAGCCCTATTTCTCCATACTCGTGTCTCTATCAAATGTTGGAAAGCAACACATAAGCTTAGAAGCTGTCATATTCCAAGAAAGAAATTGAAGAGGACACATTTCTTTCC